CTCGTGCATGCCAGGGTACGGAGTAGTCGGGAGGCTGCTCCGTAAACGGACTCTGTTTAACAGAGAATCCCGCTTGCACTACCATGCTTGTGTACTCTTTTGGTTCGGGTCCGGTACGCAGATGACCAGCCCAAAGCTCCATGACAGTAAAAGATGGATCCGGGTTAGCGAGGTGTCGCCCGTCTTTCCTATTTTCTTAAACCAGGTTCTGGCGACAACACTTTCATCGCGATACTTGTTCATACTGTAGTTTAACGCGTAGTTCATCGTAGACTTAATAACTGCTTGGTATATAGAATATTAGGTGCGGAACTTTTTCCATTCCGTCTATCTCTATCGTTTGAGTATTAGCGACTACGTTGCGTTTAGTTTAAGTTATTTTGTATTAATAGCATTAATTCGTATTAATTAGAATATTAAGATAATATTAGTTCTAAGCTGAAGAACGAAGACAACCGACGAGGGAACTTAGTTTTTTATAGGTTTAGGCTCAAGAAAGAAGTCATCCGCCGAGGGATTTTAGTACCGATAGTATTACATAGTTAAGATTTAAGTTATTTATAAGGTTTATTGTGAAAGGTGGGAAGATGTAGAACTTGTGATTCCATCTACCTGCCTTGGGCCTCCACTCGCAGCAACCTCCTCGTGGTGAGGCCTGGGCAATCGGTATTATCATCGGTAAAGTACTGTAAACTGATGACAATATCGAGCTAATGGCTGCAAACTTTCAGGCTGCGAAGATTCAAAGTGTAAAAATGTCTAGTACTTTGAATGTTTTAGAAAAGTATTCGAGATAAAGATGTATGGAACTACTGAAAATTACTTTAGATTCCTTTTCCTTATTCTGTAAATTCTTTGATTGGAATATGAATGTTGCTGGAAGTATGAACATTTTCACAGGACAATGATATAAATGGAACTTTAAAACTTTTTTAAGTGTTACAGTGATATTTCGTTATATGTTCCATAATGTCAATAATATTGATTTCCTTGCAACATCCATAATTATTACAAATGTCAATATAACGAAATATCTTTTATGCGATGTTTGTGGTGTAATAAAAATCTGTGTTTCGATTACGTTTTTGATACGTATTACTCACTTATATGTAATAATATAGAATAAAAATATACTATTAGTCCGATATTTGAAAATATGCATGCGTTCGTTGTCACTGCTAAACTGTTGTAATAACAATGGAATAATAATATAATTTACTCACATGTACATAATAATACATATACATATCCATAAAAACAATATTAAACGCAATAACTTTTTTGTACGCGAAGAAAAACTAATATAGGTCCGTCGGGATTGGAACCCAAGACTCCTTTCTAATACGTCTACTTTATAGCGAACGGACGGAAGAGAATCCGTTCACGACCATGGTCCCTTCTTAGATTTAACGTAGTTCACAAATTCACCGTTCTCATAACGTAGAGGGCAGCAGAAAATCCCTGACTTTTTACACTATCGGTATTTCAGAACATGAGACACGAAGTCCCATAAGATGATAGGTCTATCCTATACCTAGTCGGTGATAATACGACATCTAACGGCAGTACCACAAATAAATTTTATTCCCCGTTACCATCAAGTTGGGTTTGTGTATTTGCTACGTGAACGCAGTGTTTCCTGACAGTATCGATTTTTGACAATTCTGCCCATCAGGAGAACGATGGAATACCTACGGCTCGTGGCAAGATTTGAATTCTCGCCGAACGTAGGAAAAGAATGGTGCGACTGAAAGAGATTCGAGAATGAAACAATACTTACGTACTAATGTGTGCAACGATAAACCTTTTCTCTTCGTACTTGCAATGATGTTTATTTTTTATCAATAACGAAGTTACATACGAAATACTTGAAATGGCATTCCCGAGAAACAATAGTTATTTATCATTTATTGACCTATTTGATGCAATTAATTAGGTCAATAATTAATAAATTTAACCCCTGCTTCGACTGAGCCCTCGCAGAGCAAAATCGGTAAAGAAATATAAGTTTTATCCACCAAAATGTATTTCAATATTCCTGTATTCACTTCTCAGCCAATCACAGATTTTGATGCTCTCCGTACTGCAGAGGTACGAATTTTCATATATTCTGCTTTAATTAATGACCACTAAATGTTTCAATTAGATTACCAATCATTAGCACACCTTGCTACATACATCGATTGATTCCACCGAAAAGACAATCCATCTAGAAATATCTGTGTTATCGACTATAAACGTGCGTTCGTACACCTGTATTCTGTATCCGCCAGATGACTACATCGTTTTTTCGTTTTTTATAAAAACTAAGTACCACCAAATGTTTTAATTAGGCTAGCAATAACCACCAAACAATTACGCATCGATTGAGCAGTTAAACAACTCAGCCGAGGAAAAAAATGCAGTTTTTACCTAACCTCACTATCAAATTCTGATCATTTGATTACAAAAGAACGCGTGACCACCAAATGTTCTAATTAGGCCACCAATGACCACTAATCAACCACCAATCGATTGGATATAACGAAACGTTAACAAGTCATAATTGCCCGGCTAACTTCACAGAGGTTGTTAAGGCTCATCTTTAATGGATCAATCAGAATGTTGGTACTATTAGTATCTAGGAATATTTCAATAATTTGCTTGGTAAGATAAATTGACGATCAACTCCAAGAGTGTGCGCCGTAGTTTCATTCGTTCGGCGACAATGGCGGCAGACCTTGATCAGTTTCAGCAGCTTCTAAATACACTTCTTAGCCCGGATAATGACGCCAGAACACAAGCAGAGGTGCGTATATCTCTTCTAATTTTTCTGTATATTTTTTCTATATATTAATTTTTATTCTAACGTAAATATCGTAAAATAAGGTAGTCCAATCTCCGAGCACGTTGCCAACGTGTTGTCAGAGCTCGCATGTGGGTACTACTTACCGATCATTTATGCCGAATATTTTTGTTAATTTATAGTTTATAATAAAATAACTGCGTATGCTGCTACCGTAACCAATTTTGTAGTTAAAATAACACATTAAGATGAAGAAGTTTGACAAGTGTTTAGAACAACCTAATAAAATCCAAAATGGTGTCGTGCAGAAGCATGCACCTCGCCAATCTTTTACAAAGGTTCATTTCAGTTTTAAGAAAGTATACCACCCTGAGGCGTCTAAAAATAGGTAAAGTTTCAGAATTTTTTCTCATAACAAATTACTAAATGAAAGTTTCAAGTTTTCAGAGGATATAAATGTAACTTCCAACTTTATTCTCTAATTTTTAAAAAGTAAAAATGTTACAAAATGGCGGTGTTATTCGCTAATTCCGAAACCTCTGGAATGTCCAAAGTAAAAAATACTTTTTGATTTATAAATAAGAATTGTTACCTACAATGTGGCAATAAGATTTCTCAAAAATTTGATTAATTATAGAAATGGCAACAATTTGAAGAGTAAACGCTTCTGCTTACAACAAAGAATCAACTTTAATCGTTTCTAAAAAATGATGTAACTGAAATATCAAAAAAATCCTACGCTACATTGTAGAATAAATTAATGAGAATGTTTCCACTAAATTTGAAGAAAATCAGATGTGTGGTTCCAACGATTCTGTAATGGCTTGGTCAAAGGACATAGTTTTGAGAATAACTTACAAGAACTTTTAGAATAAAATACTTTCGTGATGAAGAGAGATTTTTAAAATTATCACTTTAATCAAGTATTCCAGGCCTCTATAGCAATCCTTCTGCCCGCAGAAAAACTATCGCCAGCCTCCTTTTGAGTTGCTGTGAACAGTTGTCGAACTCTTTAACTCTTCTCCTCCATCTTTGTTGCAGCGTTATTTATCCATTGCTTATCTCTTATTTCGCAGAATTGGAATTTGAACCACAGTCACATCAATCATATACCCAAATCTCCACATATGTACATTTTTAGAAACGCTTGTTAGATGCAACCAATACTCTACATTAACACTCTTCATTTTTTCGGTTTCAAACACTTATCATTCATACCCGATTCGCAAGTCACTCCCCGTCGACAGTTTCCAACTCATTCTAAATCACATTTATAGTTTATCGCATACTATATGTGATCTGAAAAACTTCAACCATATTTGAAAAAAACATATTTTAATGTGTTCTATAAAAAACCACCTTCGCGTAATACCTCCGTTTCATCCGGTCCGCGAGACCTTTCTACATGCACGCCTGTCCCCGCATCCATCGCTGTAACCTCACCAGGTACTTGGATTTTGACAAATCGTTTTGACGTAATATTCTGTTCATTTGAACCTTTAAAAACATTTTTTTTTAATTCGTTTTTTTCAAACCGTCAGGATGATGTACCCCCTTAATTCTCAATGTTTGTAAAAAAAATTTGCAGATTCTAATGAACATATCATAAGTCATACTTCTTTATTTCCATCAGCATTGAAAAAATACAATTCCCAGTAGTATTAGATACCATGTGATATATAACGTGACTACCTAGCAAGATTGAAATTTGTGTATTCACTTTCCCGCCTACACGCACCCGATTTCGGCTCAGTTTCCGACATTACCGAACGTGTTTCAGATGCTACAAATAATACTTTTATTCACATGGATCTTAATACACATTTATGGTTACTCTGTTATTGCCTTTTACAATTAAGCTTAAGTTAGCTGAGACACCCTGTATATTTGACTATGCGTCATCAACAGGCAACATGTGCTACATTTTTATTACCGGTCCTTTTTTCTATTTATTGAAATGTAACTGACAGGTTACCTTTTTTGTTTATCTTTTATTTTAATTGTCTTTGATTATCTGCTTCTTAGTATATTTCGAAAATTGTCAAGAATAAATTATAAACTGATGATAATTATTAATAATATAAAAATTCTTTTGTATTCAATAAAATCTTGTCTTTGATGTATTAATTAGTAATGTGTGAGTATTTGATCTATTGAAATTAAACAATGAATATTAATTTTGTCTCTAGTAAATAATGTATTAAATTTCATAAATATCAAAACATTTTAGGAGGCATACAACAACCTTCCGGTGGAAAATAAGGTGACATTTCTCTTAACATCTTTATGCAATGCCAACCTTATGGAAGATATGCGTGCTATGGCTGCTGTCTTGTTACGTCGACTATTTTCTTCTGAGTTCATGGACTACTATCCTAAAGTAATTATGCATTTGTTTCACTTGTAACAAATAATATACATATAAATAAGAAAAAAATTGAAATGTGTATTATATTTTAAATTCTCATTAAAAATTAAATCATTTATTTTTTGTTCTTATATAACAGAAATGTAGTGAGGTTACTGCTTTTTAATAGATATGAAAGACTGAAGACTAAAATTATTTTAAATTGTGTAATACTTTCTGTAGTTTATGCCGACAACTATTACCAGTGACAAATTGGTCTTCTCTAACTTATGAATGATAAATCCTCATATTCTTTATAATGTGTACCATTGACCTAAATACCTAATTAAATATAAATACTTTATTAGTCATGTACAAATTGCATAGGTTATATTATATTCAATTCGGTTGTGTTACGCATTGCATATTTAAAAATAAACTTATTAGATAACATAATATAAATATATTGTTTAATTTTAATAAAATGAATTGCCTAATTTATGAAAATAGGAAATGCATAAATATAAAAAATGTTCAGAATAAAGTTAAATGTATACTACAATAATCATATCAACATCTTCATTGCATATTGTAATACTATTTCAGATTCCGCCAGAAGCACAAGCTCAGTTAAAAGAACAAATTTTGTTATCTGTTCAAAATGAACAGACAGAAATTATTCGACGTAAAATTTGTGAGGTAGCAGCCGAAGTTGCACGAAATTTAATTGATGAAGATGGTAATAATCAGTGGCCAGAATTCTTGCAGTTCCTATTTCAGTGTGCAAATAGTCCTGTATCATCACTAAAAGAAAGTGCTCTTCGTATGTTCACGTAAGTTTATAATGGTCTTATTTTTAAATGTAAACTTACACACGTAAGTGTTACATTATATATTTATGTATTTATGTAGATCCGTCCCAGGTGTTTTTGGAAATCAACAAGCAAATTATCTTGACCTCATCAAGCAAATGTTACAACAGTCTGTCATGGATTCTACAAATTATGAGGTAATTCTAATGGAACTCACTTTGTGAAAAGTTTTAATTCTAACAAAATTCTATTCCTTGACATGGAAGACTGATACATGAGATTCAGTTAACTAGGCTTCTCATCACTAATTCTTCCTATAAAACATTTTGCCTTCTGATGACTGTGACTTGTGAAGATTTAATTTACAGACAGATACGGGGCATACAAGAATTCTTATCATTTCCATGTATCTGTCACTCTTACATGAATCATTTCAAAAGTTCTCAGAATGAAGTATGGATGCTGTTAGTAGTTTTGAAATTTTTAATTTATCAAGGATTTTTCTTTGTTGTATGAATAACTGTAACGAATTAAGTCAGTATACTACGTAATATTTATATACAGTCGCTTGTGGAAAAGTGCTTTTACATTGTGTGCCGCGTCTCCTAATAATTGATCAAAAGCGAATTCGAATGTAAGTTGCTCAAGAGTGTCTACAATATTGATCTATAAAATTGGATATTGTTGGTCCAAGTGCATCGATATTAGGGAGGATTGTGTTGAAAAATAGAAATATGTTAGAGACTACATAAGTTGTCTTTCATTTCCACTCTGAGAATTTTTTTAATGACCCAGATTATGTTTATTCATATAAGACAATAAAATCTTTGCAAAAATTGAATTCTAATTCAGGTATCCTTATAATAAGTAATAAGTGTTATTATTATTTAGGTCAGATTTCAAGCTGTAAGAGCAATTGGAGCCTTTATTATTTTGCATGATAAAGAAGACAATATACAAAAACATTTCTCAGAATTACTACCTGCAGTTATAAAAGTAACAGAGCAGTCAGTACAAGAACAAAGAGATGATGCTCTCTTTAAAGTCTTAATTGATTTGGCAGGATCAACTCCAAAATTTCTAAGAAAAAACTTACAAGATATAATGAGGATGTGTATGAAAGTATTTGGTGATATAGGTCTGCCAGATTATTGGAGACAATTAGCATTAGAGGTATTAGTAACATTATCAGAAACTGCTCCTGCAATGGTACGTAAAGTAGGTGGACAATACATTTCGTCTTTAGTATCATTAGTATTAACAATGATGGCAGATATAGAAGATGATGAAAAATGGAGTTTTTCTGATGAAATTATTGATTATGATAATGACAGTAACAATGTTGTTGCTGAAAGTGCTTTAGACAGATTAGCATGTGGTTTAGGTGGTAAAACTATGCTACCAGAAATTGTACAAGATATTCCTATACTGTTGGGTGACATTAACTGGAAGTTTAGGTATGTACTTCTCATTAATATACTTTCATTCTTCTATTGTTTCATATTCATCACAGAAACGTCAGCTTTTATATGCCTTATGCAGGTAATTGCGTTACATCTGTGATAGAGTAACCTATCAGGTTCTTCTCTTTGTCTCTCTATCGTTCTGACAGTTAGATATTTGAGGTCTGTATAGGATGTTCTTTCAAGAGAGTTGACAATAATTTTATACTATTATTGTCATAGATTTAGAACAAACACTCATAAACATACAAATTTATTTTAAATCTATAAAATCATATGACAAATATTGAATGTTTGTATCCAGGCATGCGGCTCTTATGGCAATTTCGGCAGTAGGTGAAGGTTGTCATAAACAAATGGAAGCAATATTACCTCAGATTATGGACGGAGTCATTCAATATTTACACGACCCTGTAAGTTGATCATTACTATAAAATAAATCTAATATCCATGAATAGAGTCAGCAGTTACGTTCAGTGTGTGAACGTAATAGCGTTACATTCATGGTAAACTAAAACAAAAGCTTGATATTTATTCGCATTGTCGTTCTGATAATGCGTATATTAAAATACTTGCCTTTGAATTCCAGAGAGTTGACTAATTACTGTTAATTAATCATAGTCATGGAATATACAATAATTATATCAAACTTATACAGTATTACGATTTTTAATTGCTTTAATTAATCTTTTCTAGCACCCTCGTGTAAGATATGCCGCTTGTAATGCAGTAGGTCAAATGTCCACTGATTTTGCACCTATATTTGAACAAAAATTCCATGATAAAGTTATTCCTGGATTATTAATGGTTTTGGATGACAATGCAAACCCAAGAGTTCAAGCCCATGCAGGTGCAGCTCTTGTGAATTTCAGTGAAGATTGTCCGAAACATATATTGACACCATATTTGGATGCTATTATGGCTAAATTGGAATCGATACTTACTGCTAAATTTCAAGAGTTAGTCGAGAAAGGAACTAAACTTGTTCTTGAACAAGTATGTACAACTGAGTACATATAATTATTTAATTATATACTGTGCATTAATGTTCATAACTTAATGTTATTTTCATAAAAGGTTGTTACAACTATCGCATCAGTAGCTGATACATGTGAAGAACAGTTTGTAACATACTATGACAGGCTAATGCCATGCCTAAAGTATATCATACAAAATGCGAATCAGCAGGAGCATAAATTGCTTCGTGGTAAAACCATTGAATGTGTCAGCCTTATAGGACTTGCAGTTGGTTCTGAGAATGTAATATATAATGAAACTTTATAACAAAATATAACACTATGAAATCAGCGACTCTTTAAAACATTCAGTGCAATTAATGTTTCTTCAATTGTGTAGTTTATAGCAGATGCCAGTGAAGTTATGGATATGTTATTAAAAACTCATTCAGAAGGAGATCTTCCAGATGACGATCCACAAACAAGTTATTTAATATCTGCTTGGGCTCGAATTTGCAAAATTCTTGGTAAGATGATGAATTATTTTCATATTGGTGTTTCTGTGATAATTGGAGCTTTAGCCCTCTCGTTGTGTTTCTAATTCTAATTAAAAACATGGGGCTTTATACAGTCAATTAATAAATGACAATTGGGGAAAATGTCTATTCTTATATGAATAAGGACAATATCTAATATTTCTTTGGAAGTGAACATTTTTTCAAATAGAGTTAGAGGAGCACCTACAAAAAATTTTCGTATTTTATTAAATGTGTTTAAAAAGTGTAATAACATTTCAATTCCTTGTAGGTAAACAATTTGAGCAATATTTACCACTGGTAATGGGTCCAGTTTTACGTACAGCAGCTATGAAGCCCGAAGTTGCTTTATTGGATAATGAAGATATGGAAGGTATAGAAGATTTGGATTGGGAATTCATTTCTGTCGGGGAACAGCAGAATTTTGGAATTAAAACAGCTGGATTAGAGGATAAAGCTTCTGCCTGTGAAATGTTAGTTTGCTATGCACGAGAATTGAAAGCAGGTTTCGCAGATTATGCAGAGGAAGTAGTACGATTAATGGTTCCTATGTTGAAGTTTTACTTTCATGATGGTGTCAGAACAGCAGCTGCTGCAAGCTTACCCTACCTTCTTGACTGTGCAAAAATAAAAGGTTAATAGTTACAAAAAAAAAAAAATGCAACAAAAACTATTTTAAGATAGAAACAGTATATCTAATTGAGAATCGTATAACAACTGCCTTACAGGTCCACAATATCTGGAAGGAATGTGGGCATACATTTGTCCAGATTTGTTAAAAGCAATTGATACGGAACCAGAATCTGAAGTTCTGCTGGAATTATTGTATTCTTTGGCTAAATGTATTGAAACACTCGGAGCTGGTTGTTTAGGAACGCAACCTATGGCTGAACTTTTACGTATATTAGATAAACTACTGAATAAACATTTTGAAAGAGCAGTGGCCAGATTGGAAAAGCGTAAAGATGAAGATTACGACGAGGTACAAAAAATTATATATATAATGATGTAACTTGTGTAATGGTTGTTTCATAAATATTTGTGTTTTTCGCGCGTTTTAACGATAATATGTACACTGTAGACATTAATGTATCTTATCGAGTGTACAAGACAATTTAGTGTCTTTAACATGGACACATCAAGCAAGTACAGAACTGTCCTTGTTGTTTAATTTTCTGATTACAAGTTAGAAGTATGTGTATAGTTTTCAAAGTGCCAATACACTCTTACGTACTGTTTAACAAATATTTCTGACTGCTATGGTCGCGTTATTCTAGTATTAAAATTCATACTACACTACATCTCCTACCAAAATTTTGATAAACTTGAACAAACTAAATTTGAGATAACAGCATAACGAAGTTGCACTAAAATAAATACCAATAAGAGATTATATTAAGTTCCATGGAAATTAAAAATATATAAAGAACATCAAAAAAATACACAAAGAAATTTACCAAACAACTAAATAAAATTGAATTTCAGTTGTATCTAAATAAGAATTTTCATTTTAACATTAGGTTGTCGAAGAACAGCTTGCTGATGAAGACGATGAAGATGTATATACACTAAGTAAAATAGCAGATATTTTACATGCTTTGTTTACCACTCACGATTCTTCATTCTTTCCATATTTCGATCAAATTTGTGGACATTTTGTAAAATTGTTGAGTCCTGACAGATCTTGGTCAGATCATCAATGGGCTTTATGTGTTTTTGACGATGTAATAGAATTTGGTGGACCCGAGTGTGCGAAGTATCAGGAATACTTCTTACGACCAATGATACAATATGTATCAGACAAATCGGCAGAGGTCAGACAAGCAGCTGCGTATGGTTGTGGAGTTTTGGGGCAGCATGGAGGAGAAGCATTTGCTCAAGCATGTGCGGAAGCCTTACCTAGGTTAATGGAAGTTATAAACGATCCAGAATCTAGATCAGTAGAAAATGTTAATCCTACTGAAAATGCTATTTCCGCAGTTACAAAAATTCTCAAATATAACAACAAAGCAATTAATGTTGACGAAATACTCCCTCATTGGTAAGTCTCCTCTATTCATACTACAGTATTCCCTCGAAAATCTCTAGAGATTAAATCTGAATCGATTGAAAATTTTGAAAATCAAATTGGCTTCTGATTAGAAAATTATCTTTTTAATAAGCGACTACTTGACAATAGCAATTGATTATATTAATTATTGAAACTGTCAAAAACAGTTAGTGATTGTTGACAATTGTAAATGATTTATATGGAAATTGAGTGAGATAGAACACTAAGAACATGGACGAGATTTTGCGAATTATGCTATTTCAACATGATATTGAATGACATATTCACCTTTTAGCTACTAAGCTAGTACTTTTTCATTCTTCATTATATCTATACAAGGTGTGACAAAAATGTTGGAGGATCCGGAAATGGGAGCCTCGTGAGGTGATTTGAAAGAAGTTTTTTTTTTAGCAAAAACTTGTTTCAAATCACCTCACGAGTCTCCCATTTCCAGGGCCTTCAACATTTTGGTTACACCCCGTATATACAAAAAAATTTTACCAATGTAGTACAGTATGTTCTGTAATTATATATGTTTGATTAGCTGCTTAATATTAGATATTATTAGATATGTAATTTAACATTATCAAAATATTGTCGTATTTGATCTCCTTTTCAGTGAAAAAGTCTAATTTGTTGCTAAAACATTTTATAGGAAAATTGAAAATAAAGAAATTTTTATTTTACTTTAGTGATTGACCCAGCAATATGTTGCACGGTATAGTTTTGAGGTTATATCTCTATTTAAGCAATTACTAAATCAAAAATGGATTGAAAATAATACAGAACTTTTTTAATTTAAAAATTCATGATTTTTGAGGAATAACTGTACGTATACATTGTTTCAGTAATTATTTTTACCGAGGATTATATTTTCTATATTTAAATATAGGCTCTCTTGGTTACCCGTAGTAGAAGACGAAGATGAAGCTCCTTACGTATATGGATACCTTTGCGATTTAATCGAAATGAATCATGTAGCAGTTTTAGGTCCAAATAATTCAAATCTACCTCGGCTAATAAGTTTCTTTGCTGAAGCACTTCACAGAGATGCAGTACCTTCAGACAATCCTGTTATGGGCAGAATTCTTAGTATCGTTAGACAAATACAGGTATATTAGAAGAAAACTCATACAGCTCTATATATTGATCATTTTTCATTACAAATAATATTATTTGTTTGTTTTAGAATAACGAGTCTATGTTCCAGGCATGCATAAATGCGTTAACGTCAAATCAGCAGCAAGCATTACATGAGGCACTTAGTGCACAGTCTACTAATTAGTCAGTTGTTTTTTATTCCGAACTTAAACGCCTTAATATGAAACAAAAAAGAACACATTTGCTTTAATAAAGCTTATCGTGAACTCATACTTTAGGTAGCTACATTATATCTATGGAACATTTGCTCCAGCCTAATGATAAAGAGAGACACTATACTGTATGTAACTATTTGACATGACGCGTATATTTGTTAATTATACTGCACTAATAGGTACAATAGTCACTCCATTTTTTACAATTCAGAATTTTGCAAATTACATGAAACGAAACTCACGCTCATCACTACTCAATGAAGTGTGATATGTTGCACGTAAATCTAGGACTGTAAAATTAATGAAATTACATAAGCGAGTTCGCACTGACGAAAATTTTTGAATTAATTTCTCGACTGCATCATTCATACGGAAAACGTAATAACAAAATGTACATATGCTAATTCATTTTCAAGGTTGCAAAATTAATACAATATTATACTTTACGCCATTAACAGCCGAACGATGCTAAATTCTTTTTTTAATGCAGCTTTGTAAATTGCGTAGTATTTCTAGATATAAATTATAGTTTTGTTCCGTGAATAGTAAAGTCTTGTACTTTTGTCACTGCGATCTCTAATTCGTCCCATTTATATGCGTTCTGAAGCTACTTTTTGTCAGAATAATGAAACTGCAAAAAGAGAAAAATAGACCGGAAAGACACCAACTCATTGCCATTAATTGATGGCAGAACATTGTGATTTAGGTATTTTTATTGTTAAATTTAGGTACAGTAAATGTTATTTAATAATATCGATAATATTACAGCGTTGAAGTTAGATGGAACTGTATACGAATGCCTTTTAAATGAAACGTAATGAACTTTCAAAAGTTTTAAGTCTTGGATGATATTATGATACGTGGATATCAAATTACCTACTTACTCTAATATTTCGAGTTCTATTACAAAAATGAAGGTTTTTCAATTTGATAAAAATTTTTACTCGACTTCGTAATTTTACAGCTAATTTACATTAACTTATTACGCTTATTTAGCTGTAATTTTGCACTTGTTTTATTGTCATATCATCTACAGGTATAAAATGATAATGCTGAGCATTACGTTTCTTCAGATTATTGTGTAACAACAGTATAAATTAAGAACAGCAATGTTGCAAACGAAATGACTGAGAGGAATAGCGAAATTACAACTTCCTGTTCTTGTTGCTATTTATTTATACACAATAATTGACACCATATTTACTATTGCATACAAATTTGTAATAGAAAATATAAATGCATCATACAAAATTTGCGGCTAGTTGCAACATAAAGTCCCTAAAAAAATTTTTTATTACGACATATGTAAGGGAATAGAAATAATGGTCGGATATTAATTTGTATATATATCAAAGGATATAAATATTAAATAAATACATAAAGTTGAATTACATGAATATAATTATCATTGATAAATGAGAGACATCGTCTTAATTATTTCATAATGATTAACAAAAAATTTGTGAAAAATACAATGTGCGACTACAAACATTTTATTAAAAATCAATGGACTGTTTTTGCGATATACAACGACAAGAGAAATATTGACACAAAATCAATAATGTAAGAAATAAAATTATAATTCTTATAATTATATACAGATTATTTTAAAGTTATTATTAATTAAAATAAATCTCAGCTTTTTAATTGGTCGTTTCATTTCACCTTTAAAAAATATATTTTTTACATCATAAAAGTGAAATATTTATAAGTAGACAGTGTTATATGACGGTTTATAAATTTTCGTTATTTTTAGACACGGTCACAGCCGACTCTAGTACTAGCCGTGCTGAACAACGTGGCAACACCGCTCATGGCAGATTCGAGATTCGGGAGTCCTATTTTGAAGAATAGAGTTTTGTGTTCAGTGTTATAATTAACGTTATTTTTTACATAAAACCATACTAATACACAGTATTTTTGAAACATTATGCATAAGGACTACATAAATATCATAACTATAGTAAATAGAAGTAATATAAATGTATACTAATATTTATAAATGTGGTATATATTTTGTGGACACTGAATAGTTTGGTGTTGTGTGCATTATATTTGAAATATTTACAGTGGTTTCAAGATAATATAATCGTGAAGCATGATAAAACCATCTTTGAACCAAATTAAAGCATTTCAAAATTGATAAAGATATGTATAAGATAATTGAAACTTGAAATAGACAAAATTACTTGTACGATGCCAAACAGGTTAAGTGACATGTGGAAAAGAGGTTAGGATAAGTCGCTATTGAAAGGAACAATTATGCAGTTAATTATGAACTTGTGTTAGAGAATAGTTTATTAGTTACAGTTTTCACATAATCATTTAATAAAATATTCGAAAAAATTGACAATAATTTTAACAAAATACTGTAGTAATGCTGAATAATGTATATCTGATTGAATACTAATATATGTTAATTTACATAAAATATGTTTATGGTTTTCAGATTGCAAAAATTGAGATTCCAAATTGCCGTCATTTATTATGGCTTCCATTATTGCATACATATGAATAAATGAGATTATCACTTCTTCAGTGGGAACAGAAAGGCCCCCTCTTTGTAAGTGATCAAAGTATACATCGCTTACAGTTTTACCTTTATCCTCGACAATTAATAATCGACATATATTGCAATTTAATTTTTTAGCAACAGAATGGGACCCATAACCAGATATGTAAATTTTAATGGAATCATCTACAACACAATTGGACAAGTATTCAGTATCCATAACAAAACATTCTCGAATAAACCATTGGGTGATAGAATATTTTGGTACCTTTGAATATCACTTTCTGCAAAATGCAGACTGAAAACGGCAGAATATTTTGTTGATGTCCAATTTTTACGAGGAATAGCAGCCATCTATTTTTTCCGTAATTTCTCATCTTTGGGGAATACAAATACAGATATATAATTACTATCTTTGAAAGTACTATCATAATTTCCCTTACAATTGGGAACACAGCAACGCCGTGGCATTATTAAATTATAAACATATGAAAATTATAGACAAAAATATATGTAAAACAAAATTTCCAAAAAGGCTATAGATATTATTAATTAAATATGCTACACACAAAAAATGATATGTAGAGTTAATATAAATAAATAAAATTTACCTGCAGTATTGTACTGATTCTTATATTCGGAGGATTACAATAATCTAAACATTTGAAGGATAGGCGGGAAACTGAGAGGCCGGTAGAGGGAGATTGAGTAGCCGGAAGGCCGGTGAAAGCGAGAGGCCTGGGAGGCTGATATAGTAGGTTGGGTATAGTTAAGTCAGACCCTCGCGTTGTTGCCATTTTTATCTTCAGCACGGCTAGTACTAGAGTCGACTGTGACATAATTTGAAGCGGAAATGTTTTTCGACGAAAAGTTTAGTCGCTGCGATTCGGTCTAGTGTGCTTGACTCCATAAGAATCAATTGTTTATCAAATTTTGGCCGTATTTCGCTTTGCTGCATTTCGCCATAGTATGCGACGGCCTTAATTCCAACATGGAATAATTTCTTTATACTACACGTACAGATTTATCAAGATATAGATAGTTCGTAAGCTTTCACATAATTCATGATTTATTTATTTTTATATCCAGACGTTCTTGCTACGATTTGTCCCGAATAATTCTTTTTGTGCATATCATTTTATAGATAGGTAATAAGTCAGTCGAACAGTACATAATTGACGTATGTACGTGAGAATTAAAATTATATATGTGCTTTGTATTGTTCACGTACTCCCTTACTGAACAGATATTAGATTACATCATACATAGGTACCCTCGCAAGCAAACTCGAATTCTCGAATTCCGTTAGGGGAAAAAGCGGTCTAGGAGAAGAGCCTTCTATCACTTGGTCTCGGGAATTATTGAAATCTATGCCAAATTAACATTCAATTCAACATTTATTTTGATACTTGAAATAAATTTATCAATTGATAGGGGGCACTTTCTCTACGTCACATTTTCCCCTGGCAGAAGCCGAATTTGCCCGCGAGGGTACATGGTAACACTTTACCATCGAAGTTCTTGGATTGTGTTAGATACCTACTTAAAATGGAAAATATGAGAGTGTACAGGATCATTGCATGTATAAAATATATCGAATACGAATATTATATAGTGAATAAAAATATTTTTTAAATTAAAATCATACATCTTATAATTACATTAAACAAAAATTAATCCTTTTCCTATTAAACATTTTAAGCGATGTACCAATGCAATAAGCAGGGGGGTTGAAGCACACTATGTGGCGAAATTTATTACCCAGGGCATGGAAACTTCCACTGATTTAATACGTATGATGTGCATAACGTTCAACAAATTGCGATGAAATTATTTCAATAGTACTATGACTACAAGTAATTATAAATACTTCGTACTGGTAATAATGAAGTCCTCAATTTTTTAACAACTGATCATTCCTATCATGAAACAAATATGTGACGCTTCTGATCATCCGATATTACGTCACCATTCTTCCCCCTCTTTTATAACTGGCGCTCATTCTATCGTGAAACGCCTAAGTACATGTCGTGGTGCATTTCAAGCTCATTTCATACGATCAAGTGACATGATACTTTGTGTAAAAATTGATCATTACTTGATCACATAACATTCAGCTTGTAATTGTTAGCATACTTCCGTTGGCAGTTAAGAAGTATACACGCCTACCTGTTATTTTTAAAACGTATGTTACTTGAAATTGTGAGAAAGTTTAAATCGTGTCAGTTCTTTTCTCTGCAGCGCCTTTTACGCGGCAATTTCAATAGGCCACTATGGACGGTATTTATAGTGCGAACGATCCGAACTTATTCTTAAGATCACCTTAAGCATTTGCTTAAGTCGTCATGTAACGGTAACTCGTAATCTAGACGGAAACTTAAGCAAATGCTTAAGATGATATTAAGCAAAAACTATGAATACCGTCCTATTATTCATCATATCATTGTATGATTTAGATATTTTTGACACGACTTAGAAATTTAATGTACGATAGATACAAACATTTAAGTTCCGATTAAGTGATAATAATAAGATTATTTGTTATTAATAAAAGAAGTTATTTCAATTGAACTACTTTAGAACTGCATGTGACAGTTAATCTTACTAGCAATGACTGGTTTTTATAAATTCGTTATGTGACTTCTACTTTCCCAATGAAAGTGAAAAAATATTTAAGAGCGTAGTACACGCTTCAGTGCTTTTATTTTCGGTATTGATGAAAACAATACTAGTTGTAAATAAATATATTAGTACGGCTTCTTGTGCTAATTCGTGATTGCCATGTTTCTTTAACGCAGAATGTACGTATACATACACGAGTAGTTTGTAAATACTTTATGACCTGGGGAATCGTAGTGCTGTTAATCGGCCTGGTTATACATTGAAGCGCGTGCAGCAGCGTGCAGTGTGCAGAATATATGACAAGTGTCGTGGCGGGCGTCTGCTGGATCAACTGTTAAATAGTATGTATAGTAATGTTAAATACAAGATACTTATTAAAGCTTGTGCAAGCATGCTCTTTAAATTATACTGCTAGAACATTTTGTAAAAATCCATCGAACCCACAGTTCACAAATTTCTAACGGAACATTTGGTTTTTTCGTCATATCCTATTGCTTGTCCCTATGTGTAGTTGTATATGTTATGTATGTACCTCGCGAGTAAACTCGACTGTCGCTAGGGGAAAAAGTGACGTAAGCGAAGGGCCTTCTACCACTTGATAAATTTATTTCAGGTACTGAAACAAATGTTAAATCGAATGTTAATTTGGCATAAATTTCAGTCCTTCCAAATACCAACAGGTAGGAGCATGGTAGGAGGCCCTTCTTCTACGTCATTTTTTCCTCTAGCAGAAGCTGAGTTTGCTCGCTAGGTACATAACGAAATTAGGGCGTGAAAAGGCTCGTTTGGTTTAACCGGATTTTGAAAATAGAAAAAAAGAGAGACTTTATTCGATGACAGAAAGTATACATAATGATGGAATATCGAAAGCCGGTTCATTAAGTTACATACTTAGTTCTGCACGTTCAATGTATCATTATATTAATATTAAGTTGTAGATTGTATTTGTGACTCATACTTTTTGGTTACATTTTGTTTCATTTGTTCGTCTTCTTTTTATATATTTAATATATTTTACAATATGTTAACCATTTATACAAAATGTTTGTAAAATTTTATGACAGAGTAATGTATAATAGCACCAAACATGACTTGTATATAGTTTACACAAATTTGGTAATCCCATAATTACTTCTCGCAGGTTTGACTACTAAAAAATTTCCTCATAATTTATTGAATAACGTATCCAAAACCAGGTTCGTTTATGTATGTATGTATCATAAATAGAATATACATACAGATAGACGTTGGGAGTAATTATTTTGTATAAAACTATTTTTCAATTGACATATATGTATATATATATACACACACACACATCAGTTCTTTCTTTAGTAAATTTATAAGTACATCAGATATTATTGATAACTTAATTTCATTGATTTATTGAATTTTATATATTTATTAATGCTTACAAATATATAAACATATATATGTACGTATAATGTCGATATGTCCTTCATGTTATAATATATAACACTTCATTTTTACGAAACTGTATGTATGTATGTATATATTTTATATAGCAGACAACTAACATCTACGTACAATAAATATGCTTGTTGTTTTGTAGGTTAAATATGGTTTATGTCAGTGATAAAATGTTACCCATTTTATATATTATATACCTAGCTGTGGTAAAATAAATTAATACTAATACAAGTTTTATTTAATAGGATTTATGTGGTCCTGAGATTGAAACAATAGAAAATGTCTAGAAAACGTGCCAGAGAAGAAACTATGTTGAATTCTACATCATATTCAAATAATCAGAATGGGGAAGATGCATCTTGTTCCACAGAAGACTCACCAATTTATCCTGTGAGTGTATTTTAACATTTTAATAAAAAACTATACGTATTTTTTATTTGTAATTTAATTTTTATTATAATCTAAATACCTCTATGACATACTACAGAATAATTTTATCCCTTCATGCGTAATGTAACAAGCAGACTGGATTTTATGCGTTTATAACTTATAGAATTTTCTACTTTATTCTGAACCCAATAACACATTTAAGGAAAGAAAGAAATTCCTACATTGGTCCTTGTCTTTAGGAATTACTTTAGAAAATGTTATTTTGCATTAAAATCTGCAGTGCAGTAATGACACACAAATTCTATGCTTGCGTGATATATTACAGTTGTATCATTACTTAATATTTATCCATTATTATTAATCAATGTTATTTACATATGAAAAGACAGTCATATTATATATTATAAGCAGCTAATTACATAGGTAGATCCAATATTCAATCAAAAGCAGTAGTATGGAAGCAATATGTGTTTCATGTAATGAAATACTCAGTCAAGAATTAAAGGATTAATCTTTAATCCTTTTTTCAATTATTCATTTGATACTTTTAATAATTTCAATGATTTTTAATCATTTTGATCTATATCTATTATTATTATATTTAAGAATTTGATATTAAATCATTTTATTAACATTATATATGTCATATATGTTATTTTAATGTATAATAGCTTTGCTCTTTGATGTATTTGTACCAAATAATACAGAGCTTATATATAAGATCACATTGTAATAATATAAATTATCCTTAATCATTCAGAAATAATTTGTCTCTAATGTCAAAGTTAAAATGTGGAAACAAGTACATTTACATCTAAACTGATATAATAATGTAGATACCTCAATCTTCAAATGCTCCTGTTGGAACATCTTGTGAGCAACTATATTAATAAAAGATTTAAAGTGTAGTATGCTTTGTAATGTATTTTGTACAAAAGTGTTTAGAAAACAAATCTACAAATATGTTTCATTTCCATGCAATCAAATATTATATTTAAAAAAATTATTTCATTGTCTTAATACAAAATGACTTTTAACCTGTGACGGGAAAAGAAATTAGTATAAAACTAGTTTAATGTATAAACAAAATATTGTTGTTTAACATTAACAGTTGGTGACAATGACTTGGGGGACCAACAGGACATCAAATAATGAGTCAGGTCAAATTTCACAGAAAAAATATAATAGTGAAATATCTGTTTGCCACAAAGAACTTCCAGTGAGTCTAAATTTTTTTTAAAATAAATTTAATCATATTGAATGCATTGCGTAGCTATTTAAATTCATATCTTGTTATTTTGTTTAAAAAATTAATGATTCCATTCTAATTCTATGTTTCATATATTATCAAACATTCAGAAAAACAAAGAAGTTATATTATTACATCCTGACTAAATAGATAATTATTACATGCAATAATTATTTGAATATTAGTAGTTACGGATATGTGTTTAAACACATATTTGTTACCATTAACACATTCCGTGTCATTAAGAATTCCAGGTTTTTAGTCATACTTTAAAAACAACTAAAGATATATTTCAATAAAGGCATTTTAAAATTATTTTATCTATCATTATATTTTATCACATCAATTTGTATTTTATTGTACTATAGATGCTATTTTGTATTTACCATATTTTACTTTAACATTGAGCCAACAAAAAAGATTATCCAGTTACTTGAAGTTTCCTTCTACATAATTGGATATAATTGGTCACTGGTAGCCCATGTGGCACACAATACGTTAATTATTTTTAATATTGTTTTGTGTTTATATAGCTTTAAAAATGGACTTCTCTTTTCTATCACATTATTATTGTTATAGTAATTAATTTATTCCAGTCTATCTGCAAGGAAGCTCCTTTTAATGATGACCCAGAAGCACTTGCTGAAAGAAATGCATGTGATTATAATATTCGTATCACATTAAAAATGGCAAAAAGTGGTAAAGGTTAGTTTAAGTAAATGCTAATGAAATAAAATAATTAGAACATTATTTAAAGTGACAATAAAAAACATAATGTTTATTTTAGCTCCTAGGAAGGTCAGGGTGTATGCAGATGGTATTTATGATCTGTTTCATCAAGGACATGCACGACAACTCTTACAAGCAAAAAATATTTTCCCTAATGTATATCTTATTGTTGGAGGTATGTATAAAGAATATAACTCCATTATGATGTTTGGCATGTGTAATTGTAGAATCTGATTTAAGTGTGCTTGAATAAATGAAAATAAGAAAAACAAAATATATGTGTTTGGCTATTTAGAGTAATTTAGACAATGGAATGATAGAAGCAAGAGTATCTTGCATGTAGAGCTACTTTACCTATATTAATGAATGAATACTTCAGTATTCAATTTGTATTATAATATAAAATTCGTTCTATTTTTAAAAAATACCATATTATTTTTATAATCTTGCAGTTTGTAATGATGAACTTACTCATAGCAAGAAAGGTAGGACAGTTATGACTGATGTTGAAAGGTATGATGCAGTAAGGCATTGTCGATATGTAGATGAAGTAGTGAGAGATGCTCCATGGGAATTGGACGACGAATTTCTCACAAAACACAAGGTAGAATTCACAATATATATAGTTACGATTTCTACAAATCTGTATACGAATTTTTAGTAATTTAATGTTTAATGTTGTAGATCGATTTCGTAGCACATGATGATATACCCTATATGACGGATGATAGTACAGATGTATATGCTGCATTAAAAGCTAAAGGTATGTTTGTAGCCACACAAAGGACAGAAGGAGTATCTACATCGGATATTGTAGCCAGAATAGTTAAGGATTATGATATGTATGTAAGAAGAAATCTTGCACGAGGCTACAGTGCCAAAGAACTTAATGTTTCTTTTCTCAGTGTATGTACATATTACTCCAGTGTAGAACGTAATCGTAACACGTAATTCTAAGTAATCTGCAATTACAGGAGAAGAAATTTCGGTTGCAGAATAAATTTGATGATTTAAAAGATAAAGGTAAACGTGTCATGGAAAATATTGGTGAAAAACGTATGGATATGATTAGCAAATGGGAAGAAAAATCTCGAGATTTTATTGATGCTTTTCTACTACTATTTGGCAGAGAAGGCAGATTGGTGGGTAGTATTTATAGAGGGATTACTTTGTTAATTATTCTGTACTCATTATTAGTGATACATTGCAAGATATGCATTAAAAAGAAATAAACAGAGTACCAATTGACTAACAGTTAATTACTTTTCTCTACCTACATTTTTTTTATGATTAAAACTTTTTTTATATAAAAATAAACATTCTTATAAACAACAGCTTTTTTTGTAATAAGACATTCTTGGATACAAGTGTTTATTTGTGTCTATACAATGTGTGTGTATGCATACTCATATTTATTATTAAAAACTAATAATATAAATATTTTCTGTTTGTTATTCACAGTCAACAATTTGGAATGAAAGTAAAGGTCGTTTGATGCAAGCACTATCTCCTCCTGCAAGTCCAAAAAGGGATGGCAGTCCAAATGGCAGTAATATCAGCAATAATGATGAAGATCAGACAAGGTACATCACAGCATTCGAGTCAATTGATTAATATGCAACACCACTTCATTCCGTACCGCTTCCATACGAAAACCTTCAATACTTCACACCATCCACTTGCAGCATGTTATGTTAGTATACAATCCCCATGTTCTTAAATACATTAAATTAATTCTAAGTACTAATATAAAATTGATTAATATTATACATTTTTTATATTAACGCTTGTTATTAACATTGGCATGATGGTGGGTAGGAACCTTTGATAACTCATTCTAGATTCAGATATTATATAACAACATTTTATAAAAATGCTCATTTGCTTTAATAATATTACAAAATTATCTTAAATATATCTCTATTTCCAAATAGGTTTTTTTGTTACATTTATTAACTCTTTCGCCACTTTGGATGTGATATCTCGCTACCCCTTTATCGTGTATGCAACGCTATGAACGTGGTATCTCGCACTGCTGTTTATGTAAGGCTAAGGATGAAATATTTTCCGTCTATCCTTCAGTGTTTACATTTAGTAAGCCATTTTGCATTCTAATTAGAGACACGCGAGATATCTCGTTTATAGCGTTGTATAAACGACAAAGGGGTAGCGAGATACATCCTCCGCGGTCGCCAAAGGGTTAAGGAAACAAGAAATAGATTTTAATGGGGGAGACTCCTTTGGGGTCAACTCCGAGTCGATCGAAGCGCAGATGGAAACAAACGGGCAGTAGTGAAAATACATAATCCAGGCCTGGCCAACATGTCGTTCGTAAGGACGAAACGGTCTTTACCGTCTGTCAGACCGTCCCCCCACTACTCAGTGTAATGTGCGAAATAGACGATAGAGGAGTAACAAAGTGTGCGTGCGTGCTCTGACTGTCAGAGCGTGCGCACTAACTGTTTCTTGTTTTGACGTCATGCACAGCGATCTCGCGACAGAAGCGCGTTGGGTATGGAGAGGGAGCAGTTCTTTACGACAGAAGTGAGCAGGCGATAGGGGAGGGGACAGAGTGGCCCGCGAGCCGCCTGTTGGCCACACCTGTCTTACGCTTTTGCCACATTACCCATATTATAATTCTGCCCATTAGGAGAATGATGGAAGACCCGTGTATCGTGTACTTACTACCCTGTTCAAAAAGTTCCAGGACAGTCTCGTTTACAAGAAACAGTAGAATGCTATGTAAATTTTTTTGATTCTATGTTCTTACTACAACTGTGTAGAGTGTAGAATATATTTGCAGTGCCAACTTCAGATCAGTCGAATAGTGTATAAACAACAGCAGTTAAGTTTGTCAACTGAGGTTACAACGAGCGGCGATTTTCATAATGTCGAAATTCATTGAGCAACGATCTGCATTAAATTGTGCGTGAAAAACGAAATTAACCGTTCCATGACAATCCAGATGTTACAAAAAGCATTCTTTTGAACTTAAACTTGACTCTTTGAAGAGAGCCGAGATGCAGTAGAAAATTAAGGTTCTCCTTACAGTTTTCTTTGATTATTGCGGTGTGGTACACAAAGAATTTCTACCAATTGGCACAACAGTCAATAAAGAGTACTATCATACTTGAGTGTTATAAACCGGTTTCGTGGTTCAGTTTATAAAAAGCGATCCAACCTATGGAAGAATAACACCTGGATTTGGCATCATGATAATGCACCGGCCCAGACCTTAAGGCTTGTTCGCAACTTTTTGGCTACAAACTCAACGAATCTCATTCCTCAAGCACCGTATTCACCCGATCAAGCTCCCTGCGACTTTTTTATTTTTTTTACAATTAAAACAACCGCTACGGGGACGTTGGTTTCAATCGATTGAGGCGATAAAACAAAATTTGCTGAAAAAATTAAATGCCATCACAGAAATTGAATTTTTGGGATGTTTTGAAGAGTGGAAAAAACGTTGGCAAAAATGTATTGTGAGCAGCGGGGATTACTTTGAAAGTGACAAAATAGAAATTAATAATAAATGAATAGTACGCGTATTATTTAACTTGTCCTGGAATTTTTTGAACAGGGTAGTATATCCGCCCGTTGCAGACCTCTAGCGCAGTGTACGGGCTACTGTCTGTTAGTGTCGCGCGAGGTTCAGATAAATCGCCATATCTTCTAAAATTATTTATTATTTAGAAGATATACATGTATTACAGAATTTACATGTATCTCAAAATTGCCTCGACACTTTTTATCGGCGAATATTGGAAAACAGGATCTGCCCAGAATTACTTTGTAATTATATAGTACAGACTCCTCTCGATTATCGTCCCGAACACGGGTCCGTGTTGGGATTATAATCGTATAGGGAGAAATGCTTCCGACCCTCGTAAATTCGTTTTTTACCCGAAGCCCGAGCCTCGGCAACAAAAGCGGAGGGGCAACAAAGTTTGCACTTCACAGGTTCCATGGCCTCCACTCCCCAGTGCTGGGGATAACTCATGGAAAATAATCGTGTAGAGTCTGTATTACATTTTTTAATGTAAGGGTGTTGTGCATATACTTCACGTCGTTGGAGTTTTCCGAACTTATTATCTTACGTCTCACAATGATCCGTTAATATTTACTCAAGTCGCAATTTATGTTTCAAAAAATATTGACTGTGGACGAAGAAAAATTTTTCATTTGTAATTTTTATTTAAAATATTAATGATTGGATAGAAAAACTATAGATAGAAAACATGTGTCGTGACGAGGGTTACAACACTATATTTTTTAAAATCCAGTTTAATAACATTTCATTTTCCAATTTTTTTTTAGTGTGTGGACAATAATTTTTCGCATTTTCGAACGTTAATCCTTTTATTGCATCCAGTCCTTCAGTTCACGAGCCTTAAGCATATACATTTCATTTCTAATGATTTTCCAAAGCATTTCATACAAACAAATAGCTAATTGGAATTATTTTTTGTTCAAAGTCTAATTCGACTGGACTATTATTCGGGCTGACAAAAGTTATTCGAAGCTGTATCGACGCCTTCACATAAAGATACAGATAAAAGATGAAAATTTTATTCGACACTACGAATGAAACGCTCTTCGAATAAAAAAAGTATCTTTACTCGTTGAATAAATTCTCATCGAATAAATTTGTTTATTCAATGCTCTTTTTGCGTCCTCTATGAAGCTCCGGACAAGCAAGTCGGCAAGCATCCCAGGAAACCGCGTACAATAGTAAATAAGAAAAACATAACAAATCAAACTGTTTATCATCTTTCGTTTGTCATTTAAAGTGATGAATGAATGAAACATAAATGTAAGAAAATCATGTGTAACGTAAAAAGACGAATACACAATTATTTTTTTAAACAGAATCTTTAAGAAGCCCGAAGAAAAATGTAGGTACGAAAACTTGCAGAATTATTGCCGGGAAAAAGTCATATGTAGCTTGCGTTAAATTAAAAAAATAATAATCAACGATAAATTGAATAGAACTCACCCTTTCGGAAATTCAGCTGCTTCGTTGCACTTCTGCAAAGCACGTGTGTTCCTAGAACGCTAGTTCTTTTTACCTAAATCTTGTTCCCACGATGAGAGTCAACTTACAATGTAACGATGAGAAACTCCTTGGGGGTAGAGGAAGCCCTTTCGGAAAAATTCTGTCAGTCGGTTAGCAATCGGGCGACAGAGATGTTCAGTTCACAGGAGTATTACGCAATGTTCTGGTGGTACGCACAGAATAACGGATATGCGGGTGTTGCTGTGCAAGGGTTTGGTTACGTAAAACATCTGAAAAATTGAAAACAATCGGCCCTTTCCGGGGCCACGAATTTTCCTAACGTAGTAACAACACGTTGGATTAAAAATACATTAAGTGATTGTGTCGGGTGATCAATGTTAGTGGTCGTGCAGTGATGTGAATACGTATTCGGTGGAATAACCCGGATGCACTTGACGTTACAACCTTTAACTTTGGCTGGTAAGGTATACCTGCGATCACCTGCGGACTGGGCGATACCCTGCCGTAAACCGTTTCGGTCGTCGACGACCAGGATCGGTACAGTGACCTACTGACACAGGTTTGCAAACTGCAGGTGAATTTCCGAAAGTCTGAGTTCTATTCAATTTATTGTTGATTATTATTTTTTTAATTTAACGCAAGCTACATATGACTTTTTCCCGGCAATAATTCTGCAAGTTTCCATACCTACATTTTTCTTCGTGCTTCTTAAAGATTCTCTTTAAAAAAATAATTGTGTATTCGTCTTTTTACGTTACACATGATTTTCTTACATTTATGTTTCATTCATTCATCACTTTAAATGACAAACAAAAGATGATAAAAAGTTTGATTTGTTATGTTTTTCTTATTTGCTATTATATGCGGTTTCCTGGAATGCATGCCAACTTGCTTGTTCAGAGCTTTATAGTACAAGCGTAGCGCGTAGCCACCGCTAACGCAAGAAATCGGCTGGCATACTTGCGCTCTGATTGGTCGGGGTTTATCGTTAATATGTCGTTAACAAAGCCGCAGATAACATTTTCGCTAAGGAAAAAGTGGTGTCAAATCATCCCAACAACCCCCCATTTCCCGGAAGAGAGACGTTTTTGAGACACCCTGTATATGTGTATGCATATAACACCCGTATCAATTATATAAAAAAAAAATGGAATACCCGAAATATACAATATTGGGTCATTTTTACAATTTGTTTCTCGGGAATACCATTTCAAGTATTTCGTATGTAATTTCATTGAATAAGAAAAATAAGCATCATTGCAAGTACGAACAGAAAATGTTTATCGTTGCACACATTAATACATACGTATTGTTCCATTCTCGGATCTCTTTCGCTCGCGTGGTTTTTTTCCTGCGGTCGGCGAGAATCGAAATTTCACCTCGAGCCGTACTTATTCCATGGTTCTCCTGATGGGAACAATTGTAATGAGGGATATGTGGCAACAGCGTAAGAAAACCCTCGATACGGTCCTCGATAATATTGGCACTTAACAAATTAACTGCTCTAAATTTTTTATGAAAATCAATTAGGTTATAAGCAATAATTTGCACAGTTCTTGGTAATGC